CCACCACCACCACCTCCACTACCACCACACCCACACCCACCACAACACCCACTACCCAAACTACAACACCAACTACCCCCACCACAACACCCACAACCACCTCTACCACCACCGCCACACCCACACCCACTACAACACCAACTACACTCACTACACCCACTACAACACCCACTACCCCCACCACCACACCCACTACCACCAGCACAATACCCACTACCACCACCACAACTCTAGCAACTACAACTACGACAACTGCACCGACTACCAAAAAAATAGACAAGAGTAATATATATCGTAACAAGCATGATGATGACGACGACAGTGATGATGACGACGACAGTGATGATGACGACGACAGTGATGATGACGATGATCACAAGCCCCCTCCGGCAAAGGCAACTACAAAGTCTGCAAGAACTTTGAAAACACAGAAAACGACAACCGCAACAAGTACCACAACACCCAAAACCACCACAACACCGACTACCACCACAACACCCACCACCACCACAACACCCACCACTACCACTACCACAACCACCACCACAAAAAATCCCACTACCACCTCAACAACTACAACACCCATGACGACCACCATAACAACACCAACTACTACCACCACCACACCCACCACTACAACCACTACAACGCCCACTACCACAACCACAACACCAACTACCACGACCACAGCATCAACTACAACCACAACACCCACGACCATCACGACGCCTACTACCACTACCACCACCACCACCACCACCACCACACCCACTACCACAACCACCCCAACAACACCCACTTCTACCACCGTGCCTACAACAACCAAAAAACCCACTACGAGACCTAGCCGAAGGGTCACAACGCCATGTGAGTATACACCACAGCACATACTTCAACATAAGTTAAGGATCACTTGCAAACACTCTGAGTAGTCTTCTTGGGTCGACCTGCACGTGGGCGTTTTTGGACAGATCCAGTAGCTTGATGGTGCTGCCACCAGGCGGACAATGGCAGAGTGTGACACTGCAAGCCTTCTGGCAACTTCTCGGGCTCCAAGTCCATCCTGCAGCCATGACATAGCTCTGGCCGGATCAAAGTCCCTAAGCTTTCGTCTTGATGGCATGCTGATGCGATACTGGATTTTGCGCAAACCGCGGCTTTTATTGCCACCAAAGTGAGCACTAACATTTTAATTGAGGAATGTCCGTGGTGTTGCACACAAGTCGATAAAAAACAGAAAAATTGGCAAAAATTTCTCGAGGATTTCCTTACTGCATATAGTGGTTTTGGTTTTGTCCATTTTGGATGCTTTGCCGTACGCATTGGTAACCCATTAACACTTTCAGAGGACACTGTTTTGAAACATACCCTGCTGTCTTTTTTTCGGATTAAAAAAACAACCAGGGCTGTCTGTCAAGGTGGTCCTTAACTTCTGTTGAAGTTTGTATGTTACGTCGCACTGTATTCTGTAGTGAACAACAGTCACGCCAGGCTGTAATCTGTAGTGAACAGCTACCACGTCATAATATGTAGTCTATGGTGAACAACAGTCGCGTTGCACGTGGTCTATTGCGAACATCTACTACGTCATGTACAATCTGTAGTGAACAATTACTTCGTCAGGCTGTAATCTGTAGTGAACAACTGCTACGTCAGGCTGTAGTCAGTGAACAAAAGTCACGTCACACTGTAGTGAACGGCAGTCACGTCACGCTATAGTCTCTAGTGAACAACAATCACGCTATGTTGTAGTTTTAAAAAAGAATGAAAAACGCATTGGAAACTTATGTTCTGGTGTTGGTCTATATGTGTTTATGTACATGTGATGTGTCTGTAATGATGAAACGTTGGTACCTACTCAGTTTCGCTGGTCTTTCTCTATGCCGTTTGCTGTTTGACCAGGGACCATCAAATGCTACCTCTGTAACGGTCAGTGCAGTGCAGTGGAGCTACTGTTCATGCCTCCCCGGCCATGTCCTGTCAACCAGTACTGTTTAACCAGCATCGTACAGCGAGGTGGGGCACGGAAGATCTTCAAACGGTGAGAAACATTAACGCATGTGTATATTTAATTTGTGACTACTTTATCTACTTCTTTTTTTTGTATTAGTTTTACGGCGCTCGCAACTGCTTAGGGTCATATGAGCAAGCGGGACACATTAAACTTGTTCAATTGGTAGGAAACTTTGAATTTTACCCGGGTGGCGTCCGAAGCCTACTCTTATCGATTTTAGACCACCAAGGGATCTTTAACGTTCGCAACTTGCACACGGGCCCTCCAAGATTTTTCGCCCTTGTCCGAGAAGGCTAGGTGTAGATCTTTCCTACCAGAAGATCAGGGGTGTGGCTGAAAGGCAGCAGCAAGAAGGAACCAAAGAGTAGCAGTAGAAAGGCTGAAGAAAGAGTCAAGAGCCCAGAGGAAGGAACACAGGAGGTGAGGGGGTGGGGCAGAAAGAGAAGACGAAAGCAGACGACAGAACATTGCCAGAGAACAGGAAAGGATATGAAAGGAGACAGTTTTAGAGAAGAAAATTTGTCCGTCGCTACCCGGATTCGAACCCGGGAGCTGTGAATGAGAGGCCACTCCTTAACCTCTAGGCCACGAGAGCCCCGTGGTTACTCTATGTTTACAAGGAAATGCAAGTGTGTATATAATATTATGTGCATATGTACGAGTATAGGTTTGAGTATTAGTGCGATGTATAATGTATGTGTGTATGTGTGTGCGTGTATGTGTGTGTGTGTGTGTGTGTGTGTGTGT